AATAATTTATAAGTACTAACTGTGAGAGAAAAATATTTGATATTTGTGACTATTATTGAATGATACAATAATTATGATTAGAAACTCTGTTTTTATAGTTGTTATAAATATGTTTTAATGTCAATAATAATAATTATATTTGTAGTTCTTATATACAAATTGCCTGCGAAAATAATAATATTATAGTCTTCTTCTATTTTGTTTTTATTAATATAATTATTTTTGGGTTTAACTATATATTTTTTATATATAAGATTATATTGTAAACAAATAATCATTATTATTATAACATTAGCAATGATGGCTATAAAAATCGAGGTATGAATTATAACAATTTTACCGTGCAATATAGTTGCAAATTTTTTTTCAATATAGACATAAAAGGAAAATTAAAGTATTTTGAAAATTAAAATGTTCCTTTATAACAAATGTAAAGCCAGATTAAACTATAATTAATTATTGGAACTTTAGTGTTAAAGAGAGAATATCGCAGAGATAGTTCACGTCGATTCCATCCGGCAACGCGTTGTCCGTATGCCTTTAGGTATGACTTTAGCTACGACTCCAACTACGTAACGTGCAATAATCTATTCCGTCAAGCTTGTATTTTTGAGTTTACGTCGTCATGACAACCTGGCAAATCGCGCGCGCATACGGCAGCGGCGACATTCGTGATGACGCGTCGACGACGACGTCGACGACGAGGAGAGGTGGTCGTTAGAAGCGCGCGATATCGCGATATCGTTTGCAGGGGTGGCCACTCCGAGCTGTCCAGTGGCCTATTTTATAAACTCGATGGGCTACTAAGTTGGCGATTAGTCAAACACGTCAATACGCTGTATTGTTCGTGAAAAAAGGATATGATATGGCAAGTATAAAAGACCTTTTCTAGATTTTTTTACCTTTTTAATACGAATTCAAACCGATGAATAAATCTAATTAAATACGAAAAGTCCTATATTTGGCCAAAGTAGGATCTTAGTGCTTAAATATTTCTAGTATAAATATTTCTAGTATGAATAATCAGATTGTATAAATTCACACACTAAATATATTCAAACACTAACAACAAGATGCTGCTTTGATCGAATACAGGACTCTTCGTAATTAATTAGATTTTTTTACCTTTTTATTTTAATTATCTCAGATGCTTTTATTGCGTTTGAAAAGAAACTGTTTGTTTCGAAGAAATAAATCTTATTAGAACTAATAGGAATCTTCCTCGCACAATTTTTCCACTTCGTGGAAAAATTTTAAGAAGGTTAATTTTTTTCTGTAGAATAAAGCTTTTTTATATAAATTCAGACCTTTTAACAGATCTTTTGCCGATAAATGTTAGAGAAAGGTGATCGAATAGTAAGTACATATTTTACAAGCTATTTTATTCCAGCATATAGTGACGTAAAATATAAAATATCTCGTAAAATATTCTTCCATTACTCAATCCTTCCATAACTTTTCCTTCCTTAATTCTTTATTGATGATATAAATCTATCTACTTCTATATGCAGAATCCATATATAAAGAGATACAATTGATGATCTTATTTTTTTTTATACAGATAAACCTAAACTTTTATGAATATAATAACAAGGTAACCCTCTTAGTAGACCTAGATAGATAGTCATGAAGATATTATAATAAAAGTGTTCGTTAAATTTATACGTACGCGTTAAATTTACACGAGGATGTGTCAACTTGTAAAAATGTAACAACTCTTGCTTCACGAGAATCTGCGTCGACGAATTTGTCTGCTGACGTAGAAGTTTTGCGACAAAAAAACTGACACGTGAAAAGCTGTCATAAAAATTGAAAAAGTCTCATAAGCAATTAACGCATTTTTTCAACGATCTCAGAAATTGTTGAAGTACAAAAGTAATAATATCTATCATTTATTATTTTTAATCGTAAACTATTTCTAATCGTAAATAATAATCAATATTGTTTTATTGTGCAATTTATTTATTTTATCGTTAATGAAAAGTATTTTAATCGAAACTCTTTTATGTATAGGATTGATTTTAATTTATCAAAAATTTAAAAATTGTCTCGATTGAAGAGGTGATACAAAAAGAAAAATTCTATGAGTATGCGTGATGTAAAAAATTATTTAACCTACTACAATCAATTGTTATAAAAGCATGTAGATGGTTTCCATTTCCGTTTCAACGAGAATAGAATATAGTAATCAAATGATATTTTCTTTCTTTTTTCTGACATATTTATTTTAGTAGTTTTAAATTATTTTTATGCTAGATCTTCAATGGAGATGTCGTATATTTTGAGAAGTACATAATTAATAAATTTTTTTATGAGTAGCAACTTCTCTCATTTCCATTGCAACACTTTTGTAGTTACAGATATGAGTTAAAGGCGATATGCCGTTTATAATTCGGTTAAGAATGGGTTCGGCTGCTTATCGTAACGATTATATCGAAAATTGTCCCACTCAGGCCTATATAGCAAGTTAATAAAGAACGTCAGAAGAATTATGGCGATATTACGAGCAATTTCAAGAGGGTGAGAAAGCATTGCAAAAATTGTTGTTTGGGAGGGATTAATCCGTGGTGGCGATAAGTTGATTCGTTTGTAGAAGGACGAGCAAAACGTGTTATAATGCGAATGTTTGCGGCTGATTCCATCTTTCCAGAGCGGAGGAATTCCGCTGGGAAATCTTCTGTTACACTATATATATATATATATATATATATATATATATGATAGTGCAGTGCCCCGTGGGAGATATTTTTTATGTTATAATCTTATTGGG